CCTCCCATGTGGTACATTTAGAATTATTTTTATTTTAATTATTTTATAAGTTCTATTCTTTCCCAAAATATATGCCAATATTCTTTTTTTTTTTTTTTTTTTGGTTTTTCTCTGGTACCAGGAACTGAACTCACGACCTTGCGCTTGCCAGGCAGGCGCTTTTGCCGCTGAGCTAAATCCCCAGCCCCCTGTTTTCTATTTTAATAGTTACACTTTTTCCAGAATGTTATATGACTGGAATAATTATGTAGTATGTAGCATTTAGAATCTAGTCCTTTAAACTTATTATAATGTATTAGAGTTGTTGTTATATGTATCAGTACTCCATATTTTTTTGTTGCTGAATAAAATTCCACTCTGTGAAGGAAAAGCACATTTTGTTCATTCATTTCCCAAATGAAGGATCTGGAATTGTTGGCACTTTAGGGTGATCTGGTCATATGTGTATGTTTGTAAGAAACTTTTCCTGAAGTGGCTGTTCTATTTTGCACTCCCATCAGCAATGTATTAGCATTATAACTGCTCCCCATCTGCCTCAGTATTTGTAATCAGGTGTTTGTTTTAAAGCCATTCTGATAGCTGTGTAGTAGTAATGTACTGTGGTTTTAACTTACATTTACAAAGATGAGGAGTGATATTGAGGATTTTTCTACATACTATTTGTCATCCACTTCTCTTCTTGAGGAACTATCTGCTCAAATCTTTTACCTGTTGTATATACTGAGGTTTTTTTTTTTCTTAATATTGAACTTTGACAGCTCTTTATTCTGGATATAAATTCTTGAATAAGTAAGTATTTTTCAAATCTGTAACTTGTCTTCTCATTTTTTTAAAACAGTCTTTCAAATAACAGACATTTCAAATTTTCATAAAGCCTAGTTTATCAGTATTTTTTGGTATCATATCTAAGAAATCTTTAACCACAGTTCATCAAAGTTTCTCTAGTCTCTTCTACAAGTTTTACAAACAGACCTACAATCTTTTAAATTAGTTTTAATGTATAGTACAAATCAGGGGTCATAGTAGTTTTTTTTTTTTTTAATCTAGATATCCAGTTGTTCCAGTACTCTTGGTATCTGAGCATTATATACAGCTCCCTAGGAAATGCATTACATATCACTTACTTGTTTTACTATGTTTTCCATAGTTAAGTAGTATAAAAAGTTGAGAAAAACTGCATGTCTTTTGTTTTTATCCTCATTTCTGTAGCAGTAGAAATAAATTATGATGATTTCTCTTTTCTATAACTGGAACACCCCAAATGTCAGGTGATACTTTAGAATTATGATATAAAAGGCCCCATATAAGCGTAAAGTATCATTATCAGGCTTGTTTAAATTTTTTCATCTCTAAAAGTGGGATAGTAATACCAACAATAAGGGTTTGTGAGGATTAAATGAGATTAGGGATGCAAACAAATCTAGGACAATACTTGGAACACAGCAAGCACTCAATAAATATTAGTTTCCTTCTGTTCCTCCTCTTAGGCCATAAATGAAATATCAAAACTAATAAATACAACAACCAAGCATTTCCATTTACTTCAGTAGTTTATTAACACACTAAGCTAGTTACTGAAATAACGTAAAGAGGAAGAAACAGTCCACCTAGCATGTAGATGTATGAGATACAAATTTATGCAACATCTGAGAGTGACAAATTATTCTTTGGTTTTATGGCTCTGATTCTCTGAATCTATGCCTAAATACTAGATGCTAAAGTGCTAGGATATTAGGTACCTGTCAAAACATTTTATACTGAAGAACACATATTTTGAAATGGAGTGGGATCTGGTCTTGAAAAATTAAAACAGTGTTTCATAAAAAAGATTTAAAAATAGAAGAAGGATCTGCTGAGGCCTCTCTGAACATAAAATGAAAACATCCAGAAGACAAGAAAAAGACACAGGTGGGGTCATTATATTGCCCCAGGCACAAATGCTTTCTGTCTTAGAATTTTGAATTCTATCCAGATACAAGTTCTAAACTTTCTGGCATCTGTTGCATAAATGCATCACAGCATTTGGCAGAAGTCAAGGGAAGCATTAATTTTGCTTGAAAATAACGTAAGAGATCTTGGTTTAATTTTTCTCGAAAGACTACACAAGCAACTTGAATGATACAAGAGTCTGAAACTTGGCTTTCTAGACAGAGCAAATATAAGAAAGACTTTCTTTTCAAAAATGCCCATTAAGGCTTTTAAATTACACAGAAATGGGAAAAATTATCTAGCTTTTATGTAAGTCCCCAATAAGCCTTCTAAACACATACCTGACAACAATTCATATACATGCACTCAGTTACTGTAGTAAGAATTGTACTTCGGAGAAATTTAGTTGGTGCTAATGCTTTATACTTACATTTACCGAACTTGTTTGGTTTTGGAACAAACTCAGAATATTCACTCAATCAAAGGGTTTTTTTGTAAAAGCTAAAGGCCTTATGAAATCTAAAGTTAGGATTAAGATCAAAAATGACAAAATATTATACCCTTCCATTTCTGGCCAAATGATTTTCAATGAATATATCAAAAAGATTCAACAGAAAAAAAGAATAGTCTTTTCTTTTCTTTTTTTTTTTTTTTTTTTTTTTTGGTTTTTCTCCCGTACCGGGAACCTAACTCACGACCTTGCGCTTGCCAGGCAGGCGCTTTTGCCGCTGAGCTAAATCCCCAGCCCCAAGAATAGTCTTTTCAACAAATGATGCCAGGATAATTGGCTACAAGTATGTGAAAAGCTGGATTAGAATTCTTACTTCAGTAGTACACAAAAATTAACTCAAA